CAAGGGTTTCAGACTATCTGACCTTAAATTTGTCAGTATTGTGGGAGTGAACATTGTCCAGTCTGAGCTTCAGGCATTGTAATTTAAGTGGGGGGGGAATTGTGCAATGGGAAAAAGGAGAAAACTCTTTTGTGGCAGACTGGTATTTTTTTAAGAAAAGAGTATACATGTTTGAAACTGTTGAGACGCTTGGGAAGTTAGAAGTAAGCCCTGGACACGCGTGCACGGGGCAGGTGGTAGTCAGGGAGAGTTTATCAGGAGTGTGTCATGAGTATGCCTGTATGTACTTGTATTGCAGACAGGTGTGCATACAACATGCTGCGCTGCGTCTCAAACACATATGTGCGTACAATTAAGCTGCTCATTTGCTTTTTTTCTGTGCAGGCCCGGTACAAGCAGAGCCTTGATCCCACTGTGGACGAAGTTAAGAAACTGTGTACATCCCTGCGTCGAAACGCCAAGGAAGAGAGGGTCCTTTTCCACTACAATGGGCACGGGGTGCCCAGGCCAACGGTGAATGGGGAGATCTGGGTCTTCAACAAGGTGCGTCATCTAGACACACAGTTAAAAACCAGTAGGTGAATACTTATCCCTGCAGAATGGAATCTCTTGGTGCTTATGAGGGAACAAGTGAATTTTCAGGATTTAAAATGGCCTCATGAATATTTGTTCCCAAACCTGATTTCTGTTCTGTTTCTTTCTTGACCTTTTGAAGTTTTCTGCTAGAGCAAACATCTTATCCTTCTGCCCAGAAGGGCTAGATGCATCTTCTTCCTGGTCCTCAGTCATGCTGCTCCTGAAATGATTAGAGGGATCATTACAGAACAATGAAAGGTGCTATTTCTGAGTGACTTTTTCCTTTCAGATTAGCACACCAGCTCCCGTCAGACGCAGCGCTAAGGATGGAGCTCTCCTCTCAGGCTTGGCTTCACTGCCTTGTGTTACAGGCTCCACTGTAAACCTCTCAAAGTGGAATTTACATGTGAATAGGCACTTTTTATGCCATGACAGTATAATACATGAGGAAAAACAAAAGAATGTTTTCAACTCCCACTTTAAATGGATCAAGAATTGTGGTGCCTGTGGGTACAATATAGTAGGCATCTCTTGTCTTCCAGGCTTTTGTCGCACTTACAGTAAGACAGGCACAACTGGGCATTTTCATTGCTTTTGCATCACCTACTAATACAGAAGTGTTTTCCCCAGTTACAGTGGACTTTATAGCTCTGACCAATTATGTAAGGAAATGTACTTTGTGTCTCTCAATAATGCATTTAGCACCTATGCCAAGTGAATAGTAGAGAAGAGGGTCTTATTCCAATATTTATTTGCAGGCTTGCTGCAGTTGCAGTTGAGATTTCTTGCCAGCAGCTGGAAGCAGCATCTGACTCTTGGAGAACTTGCACCCATTATTATACAATTTGCTTCTGTTTTGTTTTTTGGGGTTTTACTGAGCCAAGAACTAAAGTGCAGTTTTGTTTCTCACATTTGCTCTATGTTATTTTGACAGTTGGAGAAGAATTCAATCGTGATTGTAAAACAGTGTGGGGGGGAAGGGTGGGGAAGAAGGTGCAGGAAAACAGCATTTGATTCCAGTGCGTGTACATTGGAGGATTGATTAGCATTCAGCCCACCATTTTAATGACTCATTTTAAAGCTGAATTTGGTGTTTAAGAACAAATAACAGTGACCTTCTTCTTACTTAACAGCCAGTGGGTAATAAATAAGACAGAAATAACACTGGGCAAAATGTGTTACACATGCAAGAGAAGGAAATTACGGCTCAGTGAAGTTTGTGTATTGTGCCAAATGCATTATTAAGAACTTGTTGGGCATATGCCAATGTGCTTGCAGTATCAGCTGGTGTATTCTGATGAGGACGCCACTGGCGATTAGGAGGAGAGGCCTCTTCTGATTTATGGCCCAGGCTATGTAGAAAAAATTGACCTGTATTAAAAAACAAACAAAAAAAAAAGAAGAAGAAAGGTTAGGGGATTGAAAATTAATAGCATTTTCTCTGTATGTTACCAAATACTGTCTCCTTCATCAAAGGGAAGAGCTCTAGATGACTTGCCTTATCCAGAGAAGGATTTTAGAAAAATACAGTACAAATGGGGAAAATAGCACTTTTTAGAGATAAGATCTAAAACCATGAGTTTTAGGACCTGGTAAAAGCTAATAAAGCTTAATCATAGAGGATCATAGAGTAGTACGGCTGATCCTTTTGGGCTGATGATGTTTAACTCTGTCTGTCAGGCTTGAAATGGGCCCCTGGCATAGAAACCCTTGTGAAATTCCTAAAATTCACGTTATAATGCTGCTGGCCTTTGCCAAATGATGCGTGAAAATGTCTCTCTTATAATGGCTACATGGCCAAAGTTGTGGGGTATTTATTGAATCCAGCCGAGGGTCCAAAGGATAAAAGAACATTACGTAATTTGACAACCCTCTCCAAATGTTCGCATGTGCCAGCACTTTCAGTCTCCGTATTGAATTTTTCCTCCCTTAAAACGAAGCTGCTGCTCTGAGTCTGGTGGCTTGGTGGCTTCTCCCACCGCATTGATTCCTCTCTGTTTCATACGAAGCACCATATGCGTGAGCAGCCTTTTGGCTTTCCAGACAGCCCAGGTTTTGTGGGACATGCACGGGCTGATGCTTGCCCATTCCTGCAGCCGCCAGAGAACGTCGTGTCGGGCTGCATGAACAACTCGGTAGTGGCTCACGGCTGCCAGCAGTTGCTCTGGTACATGTTGAGCAGGCAACCAAGACCTCCGTCTCTGCTCTCCTGCTGGATCAATGGGGAAGGAGCAAATGGGAGCTGTAGGAGGGAGGTGATGGCAGCAACAAGGGGAGAGACCCCAAAGCGAGAGGGCTTTGCACTGACTCCAGGTTTTTTCCCCAGCTCTGCATCATTTCTGCACACCCAACCCACACACACCGGACAGGTCGCAGGTGCCCCCTCCACCAGCTCCCCCAAAATGCCAACCCTGGCTTCCTTTTTTCTGAAAACCCCACAAACCACGCTGGTGCCGGACCATTCTTGTCCTGAGTTCCCCTGCTGCTGAGCGTGATCCCATTTGATTTTATTTTGCTCTGCGTATCCCTAGGTACCACCACAAATCCAGCTCCCCAGCACGTTAGGTACCTCATTCTGCACCCTCACAGTTGCCAAGTCCTGTACAGCTGTCTTTTCCTTCTGCTACAGGCAGGTTGTACGATCTTAAACTGTTTCAAAGACCATGTCTGTAAAATAAGGGCCAGAGCAGTGCCTCATGGGGTGGTGCTTTCTGTTATTATAGGGGAGGCTGATCCTGGTGTTGTACTGTAGAGGCTGTTACAGCCCGTGAGTGGTTTTGGATGGAAAGACTCTGTTTTGAGAGTGACACCTTGCAGGAAGCTTGTTGGAGCGATCCAGTCTTCCCCTTTTGCCAAGATTAGTGATCATCATGAGGCCTGAAGGTTAGGGAATGCAGGGAGGAGGAGATACGAGGGAAATGCTGGGGGACGCTGGAGAATGGGAAGTTAGAAAATCACCCATGGAGAGGGAGATGGGCCTCATAAACGCACCACTTGGTTCTGTCAGCCTTGACTTTCAGGCTTTGATTGCATTCTCCGTCTCCCCTTGTCACCTTCCAGGTTTCTTATCTTTTTCTTTCTTGAGTTATCGCTTGCTAGATTTCAGTATGATTCTGTATAATGAACTGATGCTTCCCAGAGCATGCTTTTTTTTGGTGGAAAAATATATCATTTGCTCCTAGTCTTCAGGTGTCATAGGAAGGCAGCAATTGCTTAGTTGACAGCTGGGAATGTTAACTTGGAAGGTGTACACAGAGCAAGGAAGCAAGAGTGTATTGCTCTGAAACATTTTCCCTTTTGCAGCAAAGATAATTTAAGAGCTCAAAAATATTTTAGGAGGCCACCACATGAAGTGGCAAAGATGCAGAGACTGCAAACGAAGGCCTTATTGTGGTGGTGGAGAATGGCCATCCAAAAATGTATGGCTAATAATTATCCCCTAAACTTAAAAGAGATGTTTTGAAAGTGCCCCAGTGATCTGTCCACACCACAACTGATCCTGCAGCAAGGTCTAGGCTCTGGATTTCTAAGGGAAATATCAGCCTTGTGTGCTAAATTATTCAATCTTATTCTGAAAAATAAGATCTCCCAGTGGTTCACTTATGCAGTTGATTGAAATCTAGTTGGTACAATCACTGGCAATGGGACTGACAGACCGTTGTGTGTCCCCGGGATGCCCTTGACTAGCGGTGTTCCAATTCTGCCCTTTATTTTTGCCTGTAGAATTGCAGCTCTCTGCCAGAGACTCACAAATTATTTCCTTGTCCTTTAGGAGACCACTAAATTTGCAATGGCTCTGTGACTCCAAGAACTCTTCATTTTATGGCACGGCTATATTTATAAGAGATTAAGCATTATATATATTCTGATATGTAGATTAAAGGATAAAAGCTTCAGGAAGTATTATTTCAGACTGATTCACTTCAGCCAGAAAGCCAAATCTCAGTTGCTTTGTTTTGTTAAACAGAGTTCAAATCCCCTGGGGGATCGGCCTGAACCCGGAGAAGGCAGCACAATTCGGAGAAGACTCTTAAACAGCTAATTGTTAAATTAACTTGATTTTCAAAAACAAGCCTGCGTCCCTCCATACACACATTCCTCTGGTTTAATTTTTCATAGCTCTTGTTATGTTGTGCTTGCCATGGGATAAATGCCTTTGTGGTTAGCTTAATCTTTCAGGGCTGACTTATGAAGCCAGCCTAGTTTTTTGATGCTTAATCTAGCTTGACAGATAAAGAGGAAAGTAATAAATAAATAATCTGAAACCCATCTTTGTTCATCTTTTCTTCTGAATGGAAACCTGGTTTTCTCTCTGCACTTACTAGGAAAAGAAGACAATTATGCTTAGTCCCTCTTTCCTCAGTGCCCTGGGCTAGGGTGTCTGGGAGCATCTGGAAGGTGTCTTCTCTCTCACCATGGCTTTCCCTAGGATTGCTTCCTCCAGAAAAATGTTTTGGCTCCCTAACTTTGCAGGAGGAAGCAGAGCCTTTGTAGAAACATCTGTAAATATTTCCAATTGTGGTAGTTTTTATTTTGCCGCAGCACAACAGTTCACTGCAGCATGATAAAATGTTGTGCTCCTCCAGGCCAGCCTTTGAAGGCTTTGCAGTGCTTTTAATTTTGTTTTGCAGCTTCATAAACACGGTGTCCCCTAATCAGGGAGTTGGGGAGATAATGACATGCCTGGAAATACCTGGGGATGAGCTCCCATAAGATGCCCCTACAGGACTCCTTTCCTGATTTTAACTGAGTGATCCAGGAGGCTGTAAAATCCAAGTAGAAAAGGAACCTTCTGGAGAAGCATTTTGGGCTTGATAAGATCTAATCTTCCAACAGTCTCATCTCTGATATGGAGTGGGAAGAGGAATTGCACCACACTGGAAGGAAAATTATTTGTGAGAATTTTAGTTTATTTTTGGTTTGGTTGCTTTTACCTTTTTTTAAACTGACACATGGGAAGCATGCACAGGCAGAAGCTAGCGTTATGTAACCGAGCCCTTTGGTAGCACACGAAGCATATGCAGCTCCCCCAGCAGTAATGCACACATTCATCATTCCTGACTTGGCTTCAAGCCTCCAAGAAACTCGTGTTGGTTTTTAAAAACATGTTTTTGCATTGATCACTGTTTAATTACTTCTAAATCTCTTCTAGAGTTACTATACTGTAGGATCCTGAATAGTGTTCAGTGATGTAATTTAGTTCACCTAAGGCTTGATGGGAACTGGAGTGCTGGATGCTTAATATAAGGGGGGCAGGATGGAAATCTGTCTGTTTAAGCTGCTTACTGCTTTCTGTTGGAAAAGTTGCTTGTGAGCTGTGAGAAGATCAAGCCCTTCCCCATGTGCAGCAGAGGTTAGAAAAGTGCCTTTCTTGTTCCATTGTTCAGGGGTGTTGGTTATAGCCATGTTGGTTTAAGGACATACGCAGAAAAGGGTCTTCCTAATATCTTCTATTAGACCAACTAAATAGCTGGAAATACGTTCTTTGCAAGCTTTCAGACACAAGCACCCATCACTTATTCCATCCTGGAGAGCACGCAAACACCAGCAGACTCTCCCTTTGCCTGAGGGGAGGGTGTTTTTGCCCAAAAGCTCGCAAAGAACAATTTTCCCAACTATTTAGTTGGTCTAATAAAAGATATATCCCATTTTCCTAAAGAACCTTGTCTTTCTTGTTCCATTAAATTGTGTTCAGGTCTTGCTGAGAGGAAACTTTTGCTAATTGCCATTTCCCTTCTCTTGGGTGTGTTCCTCAGGAAACTTTTGGTGGTCTGCCAAAAACGCTAAACATGAATCTTTTAAAACTTCGGACTAATGCTCTCCCTGTAGCAGCACTGGCAGGCACTTTACTGAGAGTGCTTGAAATCAGCTGTGGTGAAGGGGGGAGAGCTGTCCTGCCCTTTCTCTATGTCCCCCGCGAGCCCTGGCTCAGCTGAAATATTGGGCATTCGGTTGAGTTGTGAGCAGAAGTTGCAGTTGTGGCTTCTGGCCGCTGGAGTCTACTGTGGCTCATTGCTTTAGGCCAGCTGGCTGCACGTCTTACACTCAGCAGGTGCAAGATCCACGAAGAGCTGTCCATAGCCCAGCTCAGCTGCAGAAATCGGCCTGCCTTTGGAGTCTCCCCGTCTAAACCCTAAGCAGGTGCCCTCTAGGCAGCGCCAATCCTGACTTCATGTCACCACTAATGCACACGTTGGTGGTGCCAGCTGGGCAGCAGTTGGCATGTCAGCCAGTCTGGACTTACGTGCCTGCTCTGCACCATGTCTGGACACTCCTCTGCACCCCTCATTTCTCCACCGTCATACCCGCACCATGTTGTAACAACCCTGGTCGCTCCTTGGTGGAGGGTTAATTGACAGCTTGCTGGAATCGGTAGTCATGGGCAAAGTGTTCGTACATCTGCATACTGTGTCACATGAAGCTGTGCAAAACTTGGCAGCTGTTTGGATTTGGCACGTGGCCACAGCTGCCTATTTCCACCCCCACATCCTCTGAGGGGATTTCATCAGTTCATAGGTAGGAGAGGGAGGAAAGGAACTGGGTTGTCATCTATTCAGTTCTCCCCTGGATCTGATCTAATTATTCAAGGGTTCATTTCCTCATCGGAGAACATTGCACAGACTCCCCAAGACCTATGGGGAGGAGTGGACCACGTTTTTACTGACTTGTTTGACCTCACAGTTTCCCTTGTTGCCAGCTGATGTGGTTAGTCCTTTGGCTCAAGAGTTAAACATTTCTTTTGTAAGGGTGAAGATTCAGGGTTCACATTGATATGTGAGGTGGAAGTTGTTGAATGTAACACAATTGGTTTTACCTTTTTCCTTTAAAGAAAATAAATTCCAGGTGATTCTATACAAAAACCTGTTAACAAGAACGTGCTTAAGTTGTTAGGTCAAGTAGGATTGTTAGATGTCCAGTTCCCTGTGCAATCCCAACTCTTCCTCTTGTCCATTTGCATTATGATCTCATCTCAAATTATATTAGCTCATACTTGTTTTCAAGAGGTCCCCTGCCCCTTTCAGTATGCAGGACGAATCAACAGGGAGGAGAGCTCGAACTCAGTCTGGCTTTTTCTCATGTTTACCAGATTTTGCCACATAACTTACTTTTAACAGTTTGCCCGTGGCAGTGATTCTCACCCAGGGTGCTGAGATCCTTTCAGGGGTGCCACACAGTGTTAGCAATGCTTGGTTTGCAAACATGATTCACAAGATAAGTCCAAATATTTCAAATAGAAATCCATAGCTGTGGTCTTGCTGAGTTCTTTGCAACAGGAAAACTGCTCTGTTATTTTTCTGTCTTCAAAAAATGAGTGAAAACGAAGAGCTGGCATTTTCTGAGGGGTCCTGTGAGTCTGTCCAGGGGTGCTTGAAGTCTAAAAAGTTTGAGAGCCACTGGCCTAGGGAATGGTTTTGTGAAGATGCAGTAGACCTTAGCTTAGACTGCAACCATATTTCAGTAGAAGCCTTCATACTTAGAAAACTAGTTTTGTCTGAAAATTTTCACATTTATTTTGAAGATAAAGAAGAGCATCTGCAAAGTCTGAAGAACATCCTTCAAAAGGTTTTAGAGATATTAATAACTTTGGGGATTTTTAAAATTACTTTTAACATTTTTGTCTCACTGTATCTCATAAATGGCTTATGATCACTTCAAACTTTACATATAGATAAATGTCCTTGAAAATTTGAGCGCCGGACAAGTTAACTTATTTTTTTGTGATGGGTATTTTAAATCTCACTGAATTTAAATGGGAATTATGGACCCAGCAGTCATTCCTTTGCTGTTCAGGATTGTTTTTTGCTGTGGATTTCAGGGCAGCAGGATTGTATGCTATATGTGTGTAAGAGCATGTTGCCCTCTGGCTGCAGCTTGGTAAGAACATGTAAGTTTTCCTATAGGCAGTAGTTAATATCTGTCCTAGGCTGAAGTGGTAGAGACGGGTGGGATTTTTTTTTAGAAGTGAAGGATCAAGCTTCATTCTCAGTTCTTCCAACTCGCTTTTATATGGAGAGGGCATAGCCTCTTTGGTTCAGGTTGCAATGGCTGTGCTGTTAGAAGGTTGAGTTCTGATCCTTCTTGTCACTCAAATGCTTTCAATTTTTAATGAAAAAGAGCAAACACATTACACTTGTAGAAAGTGAATTTGTGGCAGCGGTGTTTAGTTTGAGCTAGGCTTTGTGGTGTTTAGCTTTAATTATTGTAAAAGTTGATCAAAAGATGTTTTAAAGGCTGCAGTAAACCCATGTAAAGTCACATTAAGCTAACATAAGGAGTGGCTGCTGATGGTCAATCTAGCCTTAAATAGCTATACTGTTATGTAGACCATTTCTGGTAAAAGTTATTTGATGTTAAATTAAATTTAAGACCAACCTGTTTCCAAAGTTGAAGCTTTTATAAATTGTTGCCTGTGCCTGGTATCAATATGGCAAATGCTGAAGATGATCTGGCATTTAATAGTCCATATTTAAGACCCTTAGCATAGTTCAAAGCAGCTTTTAGCAGGCTTTAGAATGGTTAAGTACTTGCACTAACTTTTAGTAAAGCAGATGGAGCTGTGATAAAATCTCTTTGTGCATTTATGCTTTTGTGTGGAATATGTGGTTGCCCTGTATAATGATGAGTAGAAATACAGGCCAGCTTTCCTTGTGCAGTTCCCAAATGCCTGTCTTGTATTTCAGTGCATCAAAAGCACAGCTTCTACTGTCAGTTCTCCTTCTCTGCATATGTCTGATCCGTGTTTTTTGTTTCCTCTTACAGAACTATACTCAGTATATTCCACTATCCATATATGACCTGCAGACTTGGATGGGCAGTCCTTCTATTTTCGTCTATGACTGCTCCAATGCTGGCCTTATTGTCAAGTCATTCAAGCAATTTGCACTACAGAGGGAGCAAGAGTTGGAGGTGAGACCTTCATGAATTGCAGAGATTTTCTTTGGGCTCACTTCTGCCTCTGCTGCGTTTCCAGGATCTTGGATTTTCTGAAATCCTTGCTATGCTTTCGGATCCGGCTTCCTATCTACTTACAGGGAAGCAGGTTTGAGCCCTCTACAAGGCTCCTGGCTGAGAAAATAAATGTTTAGAAAACGGAGTGAAAAAGCAAATTGATTTGGAAATAGTCTTGCCACCCCCATCCAGTCTTCCTGGCGCAGTATGCCATTCCCATTATAGTCAGAATCATTTTTAATGCAAGTACTAATTAAGTGATAACGTTAATAGAATCAGTTTGTACCCTAATAGTCTTTACTGCTGAGATAAATGCTAAGGTGAAGCAGACCCATTTATTTTAGATGCAGTAGACTGGTAGCTGGGTACAAATTTAGATGCTGTCAGTGTTTCTGGCTGTTGTATTAAACACACACATGTTAAACTAAATGATTTAAAACTGGTACACCAAGGAATTGTGGTTGGTCGCTTCCATTTCACTGCATACAAACATGCAGGAGTTTGTTTCTAATGAAAAGCCGCCTTTCACTGCCAGTTGTATTAGCATTACATTTACTGGAGTAGTAAATATGATGCTGTAAAGAGGATGCTTTCATTTCGTGCCATGGTACAGCACCTGTGAGGAACTGGATTGTGTTTGAAGGAAGGAGTCTGACTGGATCATTCCTTTAGGCATTAGCTCATCCAGAAAGCACAGGTTTAACAGATTAGTTTCTTTAATTTTCATAGCACAAAGTCATTTAAATCATTTTTTAACTTCCAGCAAGAGTCAGATGACTCAGGCACAATACTTTGGCTTTTATTGCAATATATGGCTAACTTCAATTTTTTTTTTCATTGAAACCATGTGCTGAACTTTGTGGGGACGTTCTCGCAGGCAGCAAAGTCTTGTCCCCACTCCGTCCCCCTCAATTTCTCTGTGCAAAGCCCAGTCTGATACAACAGCTTAACATTTGAGAGAGAGGCATTTTGGGTTCTTTCATCGTCCCATCTTTTTACAAGCAGTAGCAACTCTGGTCATGGCACCAGCGTTTGTAAGTTCTTAGCCAAAGAAGAGCATGATGCTGAAACCTGCAGAGACGTGTGGTGGTGGGACAAATGGCTGGTTTTTATGGGGCCCTTCCCTGACTTGTAATTTGTTTACTGTGCTCCTTAGATCTCCCTTCCCTCTCTGTGCATGACTCAGTCTGTCATGTTCCTCGTTTTCTTCTTCTGTCTGTAGATTTGATCCTGTTGGGTTTTCTATTCTTTTTTCTCATTCCCTTCTCTCCCTAGAGTCTGGATTTGAGCAGATTTAGGAAGGTGCCTTGCTGCCTTCCTTTTTCCTGCTTTCCCTCTTTGTTGGTTTAGCCCCCTTTTCCCCTGCATTCCCCACCCCCCATTCTCTTTTCTTGTGTGCCAACTGGGCCCTCAAGTGACTTGAGGATATTCCAAGAATAAGCTACTACTTGCTATACCACTTGGCTACACTCTTCTGTTTAACAGAGATAGAGTGGTCAGTGTGCACAGCAGGGAAAGGCAGTGCAGTGGTGGGATTTGGGAGTCAGAGGAATTGCTGCAGTGCAGGAACATGCCATACAACAGCACCATTGCAGCACAGACGGGTAGGTGGGCCAAGGACCAGGTCCCTCAGGCCTCTAGTGAAACTGGAACAAAAGTCCAGGGCACGTAGCAAGGGCCCAGGCACACACTGGCTCATCCCGAGTATTTGCTCATCACACACAAGTTAACAAGGTAGGTGCTTGGGAAAAAATTAGTCTTTGCTATCTCCCAAAAAAGGACAGTCCCTCTGATTTTTCTGGTATTTTCATTGCCAAAAACTTGTAAGTCCAAGTAGCACAAGCATTGTTGGTGTTAGTCTACTTTTTATAGTGTAGGGTGGAAGTTGTCTGCTTATGAAAACACTTAGTTTTCCAGGTTACAAGTCCAGTGTTCCTCCCTTGCTATCTTAGATTTGAGTAGATGCTGTATATTGCTGAGGACTAGTTCGCTAAGGGAACTGTTAAATTTTATTCAAAGTACTCGGCCCAGAAGACTTTCATACATTCTGTTTAGCAAACTACAATGCCTGCAGTTTCTTATGTATTAAATTTTAGTTCTCAATGCAGAAGATAAAGTAAAAATTAAACTAAAGGCTATTTCAGGTGGCAAATCAGCAACAATGTAAAATTACACTGTATGTTTTATAATTAGCTTGGATTTTTATCTTGATGCTTTTCTTTTTAATTAAGATCCTGTGTTATTCCATTAAGTTTAGTGTTTTTGGCTATTGTTCAGATGGTCGGTTGCATAAATAGCGGATATTAAAGGCACAAAATCTGGTTGCAGTTAATATCTCAGAACATTTGTTTATTTCAGAAAATGTTGTTTCCTCTTTAGAGCAGCGACGGGTCCAATAAATTGAGGACTGAAAAACTGAACTGCTCACATTTGTTGCCTATGAAAACCTATGTATGCATGTGCCTGAAAAAAAACCTGACCTGCTATATCATCAACTCCTGGAATATTCTGATTTGCAATAGTAAGGGATTAGGGGATGGTAGTTATTTTTATGTTTCTTGGTGCAGATGCTTTTCGCTGACCTTCAACGAAATTGTCCAAGGATTTCAGAGAGATCCAATTGTTTATGTGTATTTATATGCAAAAATGTTTAAGTAACCCAGAGCTACTTAGATATTTCTATTGTGCTTGTCCTGGCTTCTGTGTGCTCATTATTGTTACCTTTTTCTCCCTATACCTCTCTTCAATTTTCGTATTTTCCAACCCCACTTATTGGATCATATCCTAAGTTAAATTCAGTTTGGGAAGGAAAGCCTCATGCAAGTCCCCGTGCAGTCAGTGAGATCTTTTCATCAGCCTTGGCCTGTGGGATTCTCAGAACAGGCTGTGTCACTTGGTGCATTTGTACAGATCCCAGGCTTTTGTGGCTCTGATACTGAGTGGGGTCTCTGGGCAGAACAGAGATATGCATATTACATAGTTTCATAGTTTCATAGTTTCTAGGGTCGGAAGGGACCTGAGCAGATCATCTAGTCCGACCCCCTGCCATGGGAGGAAGAGCATTGGGGTCAAATGACCCCAATAAGGTGGTCATCCAACCTCCTCTTAAAAACCCCCAGGGTGGGAGCCTGCACCACCTCACCTGGAAGCTGGTTCCAGACCCTAGCTGCCCTGACTGTGAAGTAGTGCCTCCTGATGTCCAACTTAAACCTTCCCTCCGCCAGCTTGTGACCATTGTTCCTGGTCACTCCTTGCGGCGCTCGGGGGAACAGGGACTCCCCCAGCGCCTGCTGATCCCCCCTAACCAGTTTATAACAGGCCACAAGATCCCCCCTCAGCCTTCTCTTTTGAAGGCTGAACAGGTTCAGGTCCCGCAACCTTTCCTCATAGGACCTACCCTGCTGTCCCTTGATCATACGAGTGGCCCTCCTCTGGACCCTCTCGATGCTGTCCACATCCCTCTTAAAGTGCGGCGCCCAGAACTGGACGCAGTACTCCAGCTGCGGCCTGACCAGTGCCGCATAGAGGGGGAGGATCACCTCCTTGGACCTGCTCGAGATGCATCTGTGGATGCACGACAAGGTGCAGTTGGCCTTCCTAGCCGCCTCCCCACATTGCCGACTCATGTTCATCTTGGAGTCAATAATGACTCCCAGATCCTTTTCCACCTCCGTGCTGACAAGAGGGGAGTTCCCCAGCCTGTATGTGTGGTGCCGATTGTTCCTCCCCAGGTGCATCACCTTACACTTGTCCGTGTTAAACCCCATCCTGTTCTCCTCCGCCCATCCTTGTAACCTATCTAGGTCCAACTGTAGCCTGTTGCTCCCCTCTATTGTGCCCACATCCCCCCACATCTTAGTGTCATCAGCAAACTTGAACAGGGTGCTTTGCACCCCCTCATCCAAATCACTGATGAAGATGTTGAACAGGGCGGGCCCAAGGACCGAGCCCTGTGGGACCCCACTTCCCACGTCCTTCCAGGTCGAGAAGGACCCATCCACTACCACCCTCTGGGTGCGACTCTCTAACCAGTTGGCGACCCATTGGACTGTATGGGTGTCTACGCCACAGTCCCCCAGCTTCCTAATGAGAATGGGGTGAGAGACAGTATCAAAAGCCTTCCTGAAGTCTAGGAAAACTATATCCACTGCCACCCCTGCATCCAGTGATTTAGTGACCTGGTCGTAAAAGGCCACCAGGTTGGTCTGACAGGACCTGCCGCTGATGAACCCGTGCTGGTTGCCCCTGAGCATGCAGTTCCCTGCAGAAAATACATGAAAAGAACATGATTAGAGTTGCAGTTGAGCATTCAAAATCAAGAAATGCTGGAGTTAAGGTTGTCTATGTAACCTTGATGTAGTGTTCTTCTGCATATGTCTTGTTATACAGCCTTTTACTTACACAATGACACATTGTCTGCAGCCATCCCCAGTTCTCCTCCTTCTTCCACCCACCCTCTCTTTCTTCTCCGTCCCCTTTTGTTCCTTTGTACAGCTCATCCTGGAATAACCTTCAGTTCTAGTCTCCCTCTCCCATAGTCCTTGTCCCTCCCACCCTCCTCCTACCTACCCAGTGTCCTTCTCTTACCTTGTCTGCAGTCAGATCAGGAGCTCAATTGTCCCTGCGGCTTAGGCACCAGCTGGCCTGGGAGTGGTGGCCATTTGGTGGGAACACAAAAGAGACATGTTTTGGTGCCTAGCCCAGAACTGCCGTTGCAGGGAAAGTCCTATTCAACTCCTGAGCAAACAGCAGCTAATCAGCTTTTGATTTTTTAGGTGCCAGAAACAGATGTTGAAGTTCCATTTGAGACTCGTTATTCTTGAACCTCTTGGCCAAGAGTTACACGTGTGAGCGCAGGAAGCAATGTGTGCACTTGTGGTGGATGGGGTTTTTTTTTGCTGCCTCTGGAAGAATTGCCATAATGCTGCACCTCCTCTCTTACCACATAGGAGATGTGG